GGCTCTTTGAATGTGTGACTTGTGGGATTGTATGTGCAGGTGAGAAGGCTTTACTCCTCTCTATGATGAATGAATGCCCAGTGAGGACTGGTCAAGTTAATAGAACTGCATGGAAGATGAATAGTAAACGATTCAAAGTGCAGAGTTCATGTTTAAAATATCATGCATCTTAGAGGACCAAAAGCTTATAGGACAAAAACACAATTTACTCTCTGGAATAGACTGACTGGCTGTGTTTAGATAATAATATATCTAATACAGAAAGTAAACAAATAATGTCTTCTTGTGAGTGTGCCTTGCTGACTTTAAATAGCTGTGCTCATCCATCTTACAGATATGCAAAATAAAGCAGAGGGACGTTAATGAGCCTTTGCAAGATGTGGACTGAGAGTCTGGCTTGTTACTGAAAGCAGCTTTGTTACTGAACTATCGGATGAAATGAAGCGGGTGAGATATAGCCATAAAATACGAAATATTAAAAATCAATTTTTAGATGCAATTTGTAGATGCATTCTCGCTTGAATGATTATGTATTGATGCAGAAAACTCGATAAAAGGAAATTTGGACTTCCCCCCACTTTTGCTTTTAAGGGTAACAAGGAGTCACACAGTGAGAAATTAATCATGTATCAAAAACTTTTATGCATCAAGATGCATCAATAATTCCAGCACCATAGGTGGGATTATAAAACAATTATGAGGTGTCTAGAGATTCCCATCCCTACTTTAAATGTAGAGTGATATACACAGTTTGACTTGTGTTTTCCTACTTGCACTTTAAGTGTCTGTTCAGGAGCAGCTTTCTAATGTTGAGATGGTTTTGAGTAATTTATAGTTCATAAGCAAATGTCCTGTGAAGAATGTATTGCAATCTATGGTGCACCAGTCCGCTTGCTCTATTCTCTTTAATAGGTATGTGGTCAACGCTGTTCACCTTGCGGGGCAGCCTGACTCGCAAGATCGTGAAATCACAAGATCAAGCAAGAATCCATCTTGTCAGGCTTCGAGCTATGCACTCGTGTCAAAACCAACTGTACCGAATAGCGTCCTATGGGGAACTACTTTATAATCAAAAATGGATGTGGTCTCTGAGCTGTTGTAAAGCTCAAAGTGTGGTCAGCCCTGGCCGTCGCCATCTTGGCAGTCCTGACTCCATTGCCTCCTGGCTAATCCAAAAATTAGCAAATACGTGGACACATGTGATGGCACCCACTAGTTACTCAGAGCGGCCATGCCCTTAATTATATATAACATTAAGCCTGAATTGAAACGGGTAAGTTATAAATTAAAATTCACCCCCCTTACAGTTGTCATCAACAGGGAATTTAGCTACAGGGAATAGATACCAAAACTAAAGAGGTTAGCGTAGAGAGTATTTCTTCATTGAAAGGAGCAAAGAATGGCACTGAAGGCTTTACTTGATAGAAAATATGTTTTTGTTCTTCTTCTGGCTTCAGTAAGAGGTTGACTACATTATATGGTTTGTTGATCTAATTGATTGAAGTTTGTCCATGATAGACGGTGATTGACAAATGGTACATCCCATCACCAGTATTTTTTTAAAGTGTCTGCCCTTTTCAATGATGACTTCCCAGATGGTTCAGTCAGGTTAGAATGATTTTACTGTCTCAGTGTAACTATACTACATGAATATGCAGATATCATGGTGGATATTTGACCAGAATAAAATGTTTCTGCACTGCACACATTCATCTTTATCGTCACAATGATACGCAAGCAACACCAGCATTATCTTTTAGCAGGCTACGACTTGAATGTATATAAGTATAGTTATCACATACAGTACTCAAATATAACACAGACGATGGAGAGTACATATTCTTATGATATGGGCCGTCTCTTTTCCCTTGTGATTTTATTTTTCAGCAGTGGCATGAGTCAGCTCAGGTGGATCTTTTATAACATTCTGCACCTGCGTGTCACAGCTGCAGTTACAAATGCTGATCCTGAGGCGTTCAGGAATGCATGGGGCTGTCTGGGGTACTTGCCCTCTTTGATACACCGACAGAAATGATCCCCACTGCTAACAATGAAGGGATACAATCTTCACAGCTAGCGAGATTTGCCATTTCAGACATTCTGTATCTGTTATTGAGCAAGTTTGGCAGTAAATCCCAGGAATAGCTCTGGTATTTTGTTTTCATCTTGGTTGGCGTCTCTGTACTGATATCAGGCTCTGGCACTGTCATGAACTTGTACTGATTTGAATTCACTACCTGTAACTGACACTGGTGCACAGAATTTGAAACAGCATAGCATGTGTGGAAAATCAGTATTGCCTGTTAAAATCTATGAAATACGATGTGTTCCTGTTCCCATAACTGAAGCAGTTTTAATGGCCGAAGTCATGAAATCATTAAGTTATTATATCTTTAATCTTAGTCTATCTTGCAAGTTCCTAATGTTTTATACCCTAAAAATAAATAAAAGGTGATGTAAATCTTTAACATTGCTGTAGTAATTTCATTGTTATCTGCACATAATTTACCATCTTATGTTGTTTATTTGGGTACTTACCGGACATGCATACTGAGGACTATACAAAGCATTTCTTTGTTAATCCTCACCTTTGGGCATTGATGAATATTCAGATACTGTGAGAATGATTGATTTTTTTCTGTCCACCTATCATACAAAGGCATTATTACCATCAAGCCTTTCTGCTTAGATGGTGTGATTTACACCATAAAAGGTTGGTCCTCTTAAAGGTCCATTATGTGACATTGTGTATCATAGCTCTATTGGCAGAAATGGAATAAAATATGCATAACTACATTTTCATTTGTATATTATTATCTGAATATATAGGAATTGTTGTCACCTTAGAATGAGCAGTTTTTATCTACAGACACCGTGGTTCGCCAGTCCACCATGTTGAACCACCGTATCTCTACTGTAGCCCAGAAGGGACAAACCAAACACTGGCTCTAGGCCACCATAGTTTCTCCTTCGCATTTAGAAGGGGAGGGTGAAGCGAAGGAGCTGTGATCTGAAACTACACAGCAGATAGAAAATCCTACACACTGGACCTTTAAGTGTTTATTTCAATTAATTATTGTTTTCAGTTTTTTTCATTTTACAGGAGAAAAAAAAGATCTGTCTCAATTGATGGATCCATTTATGGATAAAAGAGACGGTGTGCTGCAGAAGCAAATTCAAGAAATGGGTCTGTGACGCTTTAAATCAGCAGAATGAATGTGTCTGTAAAAGAACGAGCAGAGGAAATAAATACAAGCCGATGGTTTGCAGGGACATTGCAAGCTAAAACAACAGGTACAACACAGGTAGACTGTTTTTCCTCTCTGCACATTAAATGGAAATACATATTATTTGTGGATTCCTTGTGGAATAAATCTTCTACACCATAAAAAGTCATCTCTTTAACAGTTGCAAGAGCTCTGTAATTCTTACTCTAATTTGAATGTGACAATCTGGGGGAACTGGTGTAGGTGACTGGCAGATCCTGAAAACCATGCGGACTACAAACACTATAACATCAATCAGTGACAATAACTCAGTGGAATAAATGCAACATGTTTACCAATTATATTGCCATCCATTAAGTGACAAACCCCAGAGCCCATGCACATACAGCACTGTATACACAGACATAATTCTCCTCAAACCAGTACACACTCTGCTTCTTCAAAAAAAGAAAGAAAAAAAGCTTTTCACTCATTTCATGTTCAGTTTTTGTGTGTATTTTTAGAACGTTTGGAAATCCACGATGATTCTGCTAGCACACGGTTTCAATCCACCCACCCATCCCTGCTGACACCCTCATAAGGTGCTGTTTTCTGCAGGGACTCAGTGAAAAGTAATGAGAAGGTATACAACTGGTGCTTGAGGAGAAAAATCTTTCTTCCTCTCTAACCCAGTAACTTTTTGAAATCAGGGACAGGTAATAAAAACACTGTATCTTAAAATAGCAATATATTCTCAATAGAAGTCTAGGCAGAAACTCAAAATTGACAACAAACAGTATTCCAATAATGTCTTATTATGTATGCATTAAAATGGGCTGGCAGGGATGTTGTTTTTGTTATGGATTGGAATAGCATCTGTCAGATAAATAAATAAAGATGAAATGCTATCAAGCAGAGAAAGACTGGGCGGAGCTATAGTCTTCAATGTCTCGGAGCTGAATCCCTCTATGTCATTATTTTGGTTTTAAGAATTGATATGTTCCTTTGGAAAGGAGTGCAGCATTAAAACCTCTCTCCAAAAAAAGAATCAGAAACCTTAAATTAAACCTTAAATTAAAAAAGGGATTCTCTAAATTGATACACAATCATACAATAACAACTGTGGAATAACCCTTTACCGAAGAGCAAAGCATGTTGCAAACATTGTTAATGACCTGCTTCCCTCTCATCTTGAAGTGAGAAATCTCACCCTTTATAAAATATCTGATTTCACGTTTTAGTATGTTAGTTTTTCTGCGTGTTCCTCTTATTAATTGCTGTGCAATACATCAACTAAAATTTGCCTCCTTGAAATGTCAACAGCATTCATTGATCATTACAAAAAAGGCTTTAAAAAAAGCGTCTTTCCAAACAGCCCTGCAGACATTTACTGAAAACTACTCTTAGCATCCTCAGCTGACTCCGTGCACAATTTGTAACTGTATTTGCTAAATGGAAGAGAGTAATTCTTGAAGTTAAAAGCTAACACGTTGCAGTAAGATTAACTGCTTGCAACATCTATGCTGGCAGCCAGCAGAACCTGCTCCAGATACTTGGGGATCAACCAGATTTCAAAAGCCACTCAGCTGAAGTGGGTCATTACGTGCATTAGATTTAAGTGGAAAGAAGTTAATTTCCTCACTATAGGTTATTTCACCTTCTGGTATCCTTCATGCCGACTGTATAATATGTTTTTTTCCACACGACAGGAATAGTTTTAGTTTAGTGAAGCTTGCACAATGTTAATTCTAATTCAGATTTGAAGACTTCGCTTTAAGGACACTTGACTCTTACGTCTCTGGGTAAGAGATGGATGACTGCAGTTGTCCGAACTTCTGGATGAAGTCTGCCTGAGCCTGGACTAAAGCCTCCTCATCTATGTACACTGCTGGCCTCCTGGCTGCAACAAAGTACTGCACCTTCCTCAGGCTCCAGCCGAGGACATACATGAGCAGGCCACACACAGCTGCCGTCGACCTGCCTACTCCAGCATTACAGTGAACATAGACAGTGTGACCGTTCTCCAGGAGACCATGAAGCAAGAATACAGCCTGGGGAAGCATCCTGATCCGGCCTGCAGAAGAAAAACAATAACATACAGTACACTTAAAGGAGAAGTTAGCAATATTCAGTATTTTTCTCTCAATAAATCCCACGAAAACACCAAAATCAACAATGTGTTGTTCTAAACACACATTCCAGCCTATTTATGGAACCCGAAGGGTGTATGTGGGATTGACTCAGGATGAAGAAATATGCCATCTCATGTGGTGGTGTGACTCACTAATGTGTTTTTAATCATTTTTGGTTGTTCTAGTTCTATGGGACTGGAGAATAATATGGTTTTGGTATTTTCATGGGATTGGTTCACAAGAAGAAATATAGAATATGACCAGACTTATCCTTTTACATACTGGGACTTGCTTAGAGTGTTAAATTACCCAACACTATTTTGGGATTGCACTTCTTTTCTTTATTTCACAGTGGAAGTATAAACAGCACTTTGTTTATGACTGACACAACACATAAGATATTGTACTATATGATTAATTCTTCACATTCTGGTTAAAAAATACTTGATTTATGATGATTTATGGTAATGACTGGCTTCAATCACAGATCCTTCTGATTTGCTTATTTCTTACATTCATTTAATTCTATGAACTGTTACTAAAAGCATTCATCTTGGCTGATTTTCTGATCTTTGAAATATTTAAATGGAACCTTCAATTACCTTTATGGTGAAAAGGTGAAAAATCACAGTGCGGTGTACTGCCAAAGTGTGATGTTGAGTCCCTGATAGCTCAAAGCAGTGTCCGTCCTCTCACTCTGACTTAACTAAATACTATTATTATGAACTTAATTATTCTTTTATGTCCAAAAATCCTCCTTACCCTCAGTGCTCATGTCAGGTGTGGGTATCCACACATACACCAGGCCACAGTCCTTGTACAAATGCATCACAGTCTCCGGGGTCATGGCTTCCCCAGCGTTGCGCCTGCAGCCATGGGAGTTGTTCACCACATCCCACTCCGTCTGGAAGTTCATTACTGCAGTAATTCCCAGTTCATACTTCATCTTTACAGTCACATGTTCCAATTGCCGAGGGCAGCTGCCCAGCCAAACACGAGGCAGCACCCTGGGGGCAATAAACCAGAATGCATTAATCATTTATTTGTGTGTTCAAGTTTTTATTATATGTAGCACATGCCAAATTTGTGAGGTTCAGGCAATGACTGACTAACTAAGAAATGTGCAAGATATTGTACAGGTGAATATTGTCAGGGTTTCATGAGTTAAGTTTACATTAAGATAGAAAGGATGCAAAGTGCAGATACAGAATAAAGAAATGTGATGATGGTTTACATTGGTATTGTAGGATAATATATTTTAAAGTGCATAAAGAAAGACCAAAAGACATTGGTAGAGAGACAGAGACTGCTAGACAGGGGTAGTAATAGGTAGGAGCACAGCATTTCAAGTTACTCGTGAAGAAATGATGAATCTATAATGAAAGTTGTTTTCTGAAAACTGTCTTACAGAGAGATTTGGGAAAAGATTTCCACCCTCTCTCTGTTTCTTTCTCCTCCCTTCCTCCCCCTCTCCCTCATAGCAATGATGTTTTATTGACCTATAGATGCTCTTTTTCTTCCTGACCACTATAATGGCCTGAGGCAGACTCCATTTAGTGCTCATTAGCATGCATGAAGTCAACAACCAGAAGAGGGGACACACGTAAAAGAAAGGACATTGTTGATCTGTGATGTCCTAGTGAAAGTCTCGACTGTTATCAGATGACCTCTGTTTTTTCCCTGCAAAACAACTTTGTTGTCAGTGACCTTTTTTGCCACTGAAGATTAAACACCAGTTTTTTCTTACTCTCAGATAATCAATATTTAACAAGTTGACTATGAAAATGAAAAAATAAATTTGTGCAAGCTGTGTAAAAACAATTTTCTAATTTTCCTGTATGACAAGCAGTTTCGATGATTTTATTATTTTACATTTTTCTATTCTTTTTGTAAACTGTCACATACTGTAATAATGAAGGATTATATGTTTGAAAAGGATGCCTTTTTTTGTTTCTTGTGTTTAGTTTTTCAAAGTTGATTTTATAAATTAACTCGTAACTGAAAAACAAACATTTCATCATGTTAAAATACCACACTTGTTCAGTTCAACAGTAATAAAAACTCATTACAAAAAAGGGCTTTATAGCCCTCAGGCTTCCTCCTCGGAATATGAGCATGAGAGACAAGGCACCTGGTAGACAGTGAGTTAAAGTCCCTTTGAATCATATAATGAGTTACTGCAGAGGTGAGTGTGTATGATACTTGGGGCTACACGGATGCAAGGTCTGAGAGACTAATTTAAAAAGCTATTAATAGGCGAGATACAAGGGCACAGTGCTTCCTACTGAACACAGGTCCTTGACATAAGCCTTGTAAGGTCTTTGGGCACAAATTAAAACCTGATGGCACCAGCCAAACTCGCTCATTCTTATGCAAGTTATGCGCTCACTGCCTTAGGGTTCCTGGGCAAATTTTGGCTGTGCTTGGTATGGCACTGTGTATGTGCCTAACAGAAGGAGGGCACACTTGGGTAGGTTAGTTAGAGTGTATGCTGAATGTTGTGTGTGTGACTGTTTGCTCATCAATGTAAACATGCATCCTCCTTTTGGTGCAGTTAACCCCAGATATCAAGAATATGACATATAGTCCTCTAAAGCTCTAAAGGTCTATTAATCCTAAAGATTACGTCACAGGTGAGTGTTGTGAGTCAGGGTAGTGTAACAATACATAAAACAGTCAAACATGGTGGTGGTTTTTTCACAAAGTGGATATATTTATCCTCTGGGCACCTTGGATATCTGTACTAATAGTAAACTAGTAAATGTAATAGTTAACTAGATAGATTGGAGGAAAAGTCAAGAGATCACCAAAGTCAGTTGGATTTGTCCTCTGGGACTTTTGCTTGTACAGAATTTGAAGGCTATCCATGTAATAGTTGTTGAAATATTTCAGTCTAGACCAAAGTGGTGGACTGACCCTAGATCCCATCCCTAGAGCCACAACGCTGGCTAAAATGTCTAGCAAAAGATTCACTTTTAGCAGGACAAGAATCCTAAACATGCACCCAAGGAAGAGAAAAGAGTCGTGGCTTTACCGAGTGTACATTTCTCCGAGCATTTAAAAAGGGAAAAGGGCAAAGCACACACACTTTTGGGTGCTCTAAGAGGGGGCTGAAATGGCACTGGATTTGAAAAAAAAACCTACAGAAAACGTGTATCAGTGACAGGCAGATGTAGTGCAACAGAGTACATGCAAACTAGTGACTTTCAGCAACTTCTTTGACAGATTAATTTGCATTAATTTATGATAAATAATGAAACAACCTGTATCTTTTAAGATCCCTCTGTAAATTGTAAAAGTGATAAAAGTTTAGCTCTCTTTTGACTGGAGCGTAGAGTGACTGGTTTTAATGCATCTGTTCAATCTGGGAGCTGTAAATGACTAAATTTAGCCCATCCTGTCATTGAAATGTGATGAGCAAACACAAATAAATCAGCGTCTTCCTAATAGACTTGTGAATATATTATAAAACTAAAACAAACAAAGGAGCACAATGCAGAGTGCCTCCATTGACACAGTAACTACCCATCACTCACCATATAAGTTGCCTTCAAAATAAAAGTGAATTCGGACTGATGCCCTCTCCTTTCCACTGTGATCACCAACAAGGTTGAGGAGGTGATAATACAACTGCTAGTGGTGTACTTTTTGAAAGGGGAGTCATTTTCAAGACAGACAGCATTAATAACTGGAAGGAAACGGAAGAGAGCAAGGTTAAAAAAGAAAAGAGTGAGCAGACATGAGAGGGTGACTGAGGCTTTGTCTGCCCTGTAAAAGAGGAGGGTTTCATCAAGACAAGACAATGTGACACAGCTGCCCTGCCTCTCTTTGCAGGGCAATGAATACTGATGAAGACTTTTTTTTTTTTAAATCAGGATGAAGCAGAATTGAAACTTGCATTGAGAATATAAGATTAACACACACGCCTTTCTAAGGAAGATTGGCTGTGTTTGAAAACTGTAAGGAAGATAAGAAAAGAGGCGCTGATGAGATCCTCAGTGTCATTCAAGAAACTATCACACTTCAGCAGAAAACCCTCAAAAGGAATGTTTCCGCATTGTGGAAAATCTGCTTTATTTGCCTACTTGCAGAGTGCTGAGAAAATCTACACAATTCCTATGTCTGTACAGTAATCGTGAGGCTAGTAAGTAAGCAGTAAGCTTAGCTTGAAGACAAAGAGCCTGACTCCGTCCAAGGGTGACAAAATCCACCTACCAGCACCTCTAAATCTCACTAATTAACAAGTTGTATCTTGTTTGTTGCTGCAGTACAAAAGCCAGAGAGTGAAAATGACAAGTTGGGAGTTCTTCTTGGCAGGGAACAGTCACCTAATGGCACTTCATTGTTCATAAATGCGCTTGATATCAAGTTTGAACTATAACTAGTCACCTTTCTTATGTGAGAGGTTGAAGAATTTCTGGTTTAAAACATAGTTGACCAACACAGACTAAATCCTATTTTTTAACTTTTTAACTGGGTGGTGGCATTTTGCTAAAGCACACCTCAGCAGAGTTCACATCCAGATTTCAAGACCTTCCATATAATGCCACCCACACTGCCCACCTCTGAATTCAGACTGCCTTTTAGCTGAAACTGACATGTTTTACTTGCTTCATGAAATTTACAACATCATGCAGACAGCTTTTTATTGCACTGTGTTACCTGGAGAAATGTATGGCCTTCTGACCGGCCACATTGAAGTAAAAGTTAGTGGTGTGTTTCATCTCATCTGTGTGTCCCGTTTCCTCTATCCAGTGACCAATCGGGTGGCAGTACACTCCGTCCACCCTGTTCCTGTCATCATACGAACAGCATCTGTCGTGGCTCGGACCGCTGCCTGGTGACAAAGAGGGCAACGTTTCTGCAGGTTAGTGATCAAATACCCATTATAGGACGTGGTGGGACAGAAGGATGTTACTTTCCTTAACAAATACAGACAGATGTTGCCTATATATGTTTCTTTGAGAGAGGAAAACTCAAGCATCAAATACAGAAATAAAGACAACTGATATACATTTTTCCACTTTCTGCTACTTAAACTACACAAAACTTCAGGGTGAAATATTGTACTTTTTCTTCCACTACATTGATCTGACAAGTGTAGGAACATTGCAGATTTTTTTTATTAAATACAAATAATATAATCTATATTAAATATGATGCATTACAAACCAGACAACAGTATATAAAGCAGTTAAAATAAGCTCCACCTCAACCAGCTAGAACATTACAGGTTAATGCAGCATTAATTATAAGTATTTACTCTTTTTACTGCTGATATTTTACCTACATTTTAAAGATAGGTATTATTTTGAATGCAAGACTTGCTGCTCTTGCCAAAAACTCTCAGTACCTCTTCTACCACTGATAAAACACATTCCTAATTCAGTATACAGGTGCACTGAAATCCATGAGCCAGTGAGCTTTTAGTAAAATGACAGGTGTCACTTTACCGCCATCACGTGGCGATAAGGGTACATTACACTATAAGAACCAAACATGGCGGAGGTATTTTTCTTTCTCCACCTGAAACTGTTAACTGCGATGGGAATTACATTACATGTGTGTCGTTTCCAATGCAAACCCCCCACCCCTCGTGTATTAAAGCTGATGCACAGTCAGATGTGTTGCACAGTGCTGATGGGTACCTTCCCAGATGTAAGTGCCTCTGACTCTTTTGACGAACTTGAACCACAGTGTGTCTTTGACCGGCTCCGCCAGCTGCACGTCGCCGAGCCACAGACACGGTTCGTGCGGGGACGGGAGCTTCTGTGAGGGTCTCATCTGGACCGCTCTCCCCGGGTCCCAGCGGCCCATTTCCGAACGCGAACCCGAGACGAACACCTCCAGGTCCGAAGAGTCCGGAGTGAGAATGACACCGAATCTGAATAATACTGTCGCAGCCATGATTCAGTGATAGATCCTCGTGTTAGTGTGGCGTGATTTGGTTATCATACTGCTCTTGTATGAAGACCGTGTTGGCCCGTGGGCTGTGTGAAGTCTATAAATAATCGGCTCGTGTTGTGGATCGTGCAGCAAAGAGAGGCAGAAACAATGAGGTCCCACTCTGTCAGAGTTACTGGACACCATATATCAGCCAAATAGTGAACTCAGTAGCTGCGGGAAATTTGCCTATAATTTGGATGCAGATTATTTCCTGTTTAGGGAACTTTTTATACAATTCTCTGTCTGTATAGTGTATTTTTTTTCTCATTTTTCAACAATCATACAGACTTGAAAGGTTTTCTTACTTGACAATTTACTTTAACATTACTTTCCTTCACATAAATTAACCAGATGCTGAGATGTAGGCCTATTGTGTATATTTTTAAGTTTTCTTACACCCCTTAAAATCAACCCCTAGTGGGGGTCCTGACCCCCAGGTTGGGAATCACTGTTCTACACCATGGACGGTGCAAGGGAGCCCCAAATGTTTTCTCAGAAGCCCTGAATGTTTTAGATTAAATTAATTTAAACCTTGTAGGTCTATCATTTCCCTTTAGTCTCTCTGATTGGATTGGAAAATGAACTGAGTAAAAATTCTATTACTGGAGAAATATAATAATCTTGATACAATAAACAGTTTGTGAGTTTAATATATTAATATATATATATTGATAAAATTAGTTTAAGTGGACTGACGCAGTCAGTGTGTTGTGGGACAAGCTGCAAACACTGAAAGTGCATAATGTTAATTTCTCTGCACTCCAAACTTAGGCAGGAAAGGGAGGTGGAATAATTTATTGAACTCAATGATCAGTCTTTAGCTTCCAGAAACAACTGACTTGCTTATGATTAGAATTACTAATGAAGTAACCACTTGAAACTATAATAAGTATGCAGCACAAGCTGTATGTCGTTTCACATGCCATTTTATTTGAACTGCAAACAAAGTAAATTAATAGATAGCATATGAAAAGTTCATACTAGTGACCCTGCATAAGTACTTAAGCAGTCATATATCACCATATTCAACCTATGTTCTGTACTCACATAGTTAAAAAGTAAAAAGAAATTGAATACACAGCACACATATAAAGAACTTCAGTTACTGTAAAATCCTCTAACAGCTGCTGTATTAGCAGGAAGAAAATATGCTACCATATTATTGGTCTTACTTGCAGATAAATTCTGAGGTACCTTTTCTCATGTGAGATAATTTCCTGTTAGGGGTACCAAGCAGTTAATTTTATGTCATCACTCATACATACATATCATCCATGTCCGAACTGGTGCTTCAGCATTTCCTTCCCAAAACTTCTCATTTAAGTTATTACTCAACATGTAATACATAATTCACACAATGATACAGGTGCCCTACCGTAGCCCTGCTTGATACAATAGTCTTCTTCCCCCAGTATGCAACACCTCACTAACTGTCTCTACCATCTCACTTAATGCAATGCACCAAGCAAGAAGGGTGTTAAGAAAGAGATTGTTAATAATGCAGAAACAGAAAATTACTTTATGGGATTCATTTAAATAGTTATACTGTTCTCCATCTGAGCAGGGTTCAGATATGTGTAGGGAACTTCAAGCTGGGAGTTTCTTTCTGTAATTGCTTTACTGAGGCAGGACAGCTCTGCTTGAAATTCCTTAATTATCTGCTTAGGGGCAGACTCATCAAATCGTTCTTCGGGGTATGTACCCAGGGGAACCTGACAAAAGGAAACAGTGAATCAGACTGATGCAGTTTTTTTTTGTTCTGCCATTTTTGCACTTTCCAAATGTGGTTGGGTTTTTAATGAGCGTTCATTATCACCAAACGTACCACATCAGTGTACATGTCCGAAAGTATCCACGCCATTGCTGCAAAACTGACCGTCTGTCCAACATTTGGGAGGGTCTCCAAAATTGTCTTCATGCTTGACTGCCCCTTAGTGGTTGGAGGAGGTTTGCGCAGCAGGAGTGAGCCATTGGGCGCCCAGGAGTGGTAGTCAAACTACATCATGAAAGAAGTTTCAATTACTATTTATTTTATGTAAAAGTCCCTGTTCACTCAAAGATGTATTTTGCTGATTGTTACTTCACGGTCCAATAAACACAAGTGCGATGTGGGAACTTGAAACCTCCTGTCAAAATAAACTGAGAATAGACTTGTTTGTGAAGTAGGAAACAACTTTTGAAATATAAATATTTGCACATTAATAGATTTTGGATTTGATGTAGAAAGAATGTAAGTAATTTAGAAAAATATAATTTTTGTGGAAAAAACACAGCAAACATTTTAGTCTTTTTTTGTCAATTTTAGTAATTTTTCCACCAATTATTGTGGGGTTGTGTGCCCATTTTTCATGGAAAACTATTATAAAGAAATGCATATATTAACCATCACATAAAACAATTATTCCAGATTTGCCATTTGTTCCATACAGGTGTTTGATCAGTTATCAAGTTTATTTTGGCTCACCTGTCCATTATTGACTGCGGCATGTTGACCCGTCACTGTGAAGATCACCATGGTGATGAACTTGATCACTTCCTCAACAGTATTAAAGCATGCTGGACACTCTGTTGGCAGCACAATCATTATCACTTAATCTTTGGCATTCACTGTGTATGCGACAAAATGCTTACTACCATATACTACACAAATGGTATAGGTTGTGTTTACAAATAACTTTCGAACATGAGTTTAATACCTGAGGCTTTATTTCCTAGGAAGCCATGTGTGAATATCTCACTGATCCATTCCTGCAGCTCTGTGTCTTTACAGACCTCACTGTCTGAGGGATAGTAGTACTCCACTACTGCCTTCACAAAGCTGATGAACACAAAACAGTTTTATAATTTTTAAGATTTAATTCAGCCATTTAATTACATCTGTGCTTGACACACTGTCAACTGTCTAACCTGTTGATGATGTTCCACAGCTTCAGGCCATCATCTCTGTAGTAGAAGTTGGGGATAGACTCCAGCCCTCGTGCAGTGATGTTATCTGGCAGGCAGAGGGAGCTGTAGGTCAGTTCAGAGAAAGCCCTTCTCATGAGCTCTGTCATCCCATCGTATCCAAGTGAACTCTAATAATCATAATCACAAATAATAAGGATCAGATTAGTTCATGGGCCTTAAACAACAAAATAAATAAGTACTGAAGGTAGATGTGGTTTACACAATACTGTGATAGTTTCACTATCTGACTATATAGAAATCTAAATGTTAAAGATCCTTACTCTACTTAAAATCCCGGCAGGTGCAAAAATAGATTTGCGGGCCATAGTATTTATTTGGAGAGTGTAACGGACATGAGGGACCAACAGCTGTAAAGAAAGAGAAGGTAGTCAACACCAAAATCAATTAACATAATTATATCTATTAATCAATCAGCAAATAACAGGAAGCACAACCTGAGTGTGTTCCCATTGTCAAAGCAGGCTACAACCAAACAAACTCGCAACAAGTTAAATTTTTTTTCTCTGCAAGAAAAACATGTCTGACATTATAACTCCTGATGGTAACAAAGCCAAACGTGTGTCTTTCTGATTTCAGACAACGTACACATTTTTCAATGTTATTTTTGAAAACATCAAACAAGCACCAGCTCTGTGACTGTGACTCTGTAATTATACCTTGTAGAGGGGATGTATCACAGGGAAGCTGCGCAGGGTGGCGACAGTAAATACTTCTGCCAAATAGTGAGTGTTCATGAAGTGATAGACTGACTGATGCTGCATGAAATCTGCATTTTTAATAAAGATCTTGGCTAGCAGCCAGTCCGTCTCCGAGTCACTGGGCAGAAAGATGGGATTCTCCTCAGAAGGTGTTTGATGTAACTGGAATGTGAGAAAAACACTTTTTTATGTTTAAAACACACTGATGCACTTTAAATGCGAATACAAATGTATTACTATTTCACACTATAAAACTTTCTGTAGAGCCACTGCGTATGAAGCACCGTTCTTGCTTTACCGTCTCCTCATGCAGTACCTGATGCAAAAGCATGTAAACTAGCTGCCACTGTGTTAGGTGCTTTTTGGCCATTTAGTGTTAATTTCAAACAAAAATGTGTAGTGAAGTGTGCTTTATCCATTAACCTTTAACAATTTGAATGCAGTGTGATGTGACCTCAAATCCCAAGCTCTTTCAGCTACTATAACCTACACATAGCTATAATAATACTGTATCATCTAAAATGGTCTCTGAACATACCTATGATTCTACAACTTCCCATATGCAATATAAATACTGTCACTAACTTACTTTTGTTAGTATAATACCTGTATTGCAACTGGCAGTAACTTGTTCTCTGGGTTTATGTAGAACAAACAAAGACCAGCAGTCACACGTGGAGATTCACCATCGTACGCCTTAGCAGGCAGTCCATCCATCCTCTTGAAGTCACAGAGAAATATATTGCCTTTCTGTATGGGAGGGAAAGATAGAGAAAAGAACTGTGGCAGGCAGAGGTTGCACAGATTTGGAAATTAAACAAAACAAAAACTTTTTTATATGAATAAATCAAGATAATATGATGAAGTCAAATTGTTGTCCAATGTTTTAGACCTAGACATATTAAATAACTTCTCACTGCTTTACAAGTAAATTTTCCTTTTGCACTACTGCCATTTGCACAGCTCTATTACATAACCCAAACATACACTACCTCATTCAATTCAAGTTTCAGTTGTACAAATGTTATGTTTGTGTCTTCATCCATATTTATTTTATGCCATGTATGTCCCTATGTGCCCCGCACCCACCCATGTTTGCACCCTCTCTGTTTACATAGGTTCCTGCACATTGTGTTAATGACAATAAAGTTGAATTGAATTAGCCACTCATCTTCTTTCTATACCTCCATTTCTTTCTGCAGAGAGCTTCCCTTTTCCAGGAAAGGCTTCACCGTCTCCTCTGTGACTGGAAAGTTTGGGGGAAGCTCAGAGCACCTCTTGATCACATTGGGGTTGATTGAGTTCAGAAACTGGAATCCATAAAAGTCGTCTTCCTTCCAGTGTTCTGTAACATACTCTGGAAGAATAGCAATTGGCAAATATAATCTGTCTCGGTCTGTCTTGACCGTACTGGCAGAGAACCAACAGTTACCTTTACAATGTAGCATATAAATCTATACTTCATGTTTTTTCTTTCTACTGAGGGCCTATGTGGCTGACTTAAGTTTACGTATTAGCATTTATACATGTATGCATAGTCGCCTGTTGTTATATATGATACCATAAGAATTAAATTTTTGAGGGGAGTTAATAAGGAGAACTAGAGCTCTACCTGACACTGGTGTCTTTTTGGACCAGAAGATTTTTTTGAGGTCCTCAATGTTCTCCCATTGTTCAGTAGATCCAACAAGCCCCTTAAACATGAGTTCAGCACCACTGAAAAAAGCATGGGTAAATATAAAGCCAAGCAAAATGCAGACAATTAAACGCTATACTAACATTAATGCTTCACAGTAACTCTCTGCCTTACAAATAACCCATAAAAAATAATGGAATGGCTGACTCACGTTATTCTTTTTGTATAAATCATTTCCATTGATTTGGACATGGAGAAGCAGATTTCAGCTGGGAGCTCAGACATTTGTTTGAAATGACTCATGTGTGGTAGCATTTCATCAGTAATCTCCCATCTAAAAAAGGAAAAGCAAAAAGCCCATCACATAAACATTTGTCCAGAGAAGCTTCTGAGACCAACTGCAGCTGCAAGGGCATATTGTGCTCATGAAAACTTACTGGTACAAGCTCTTTTTAAGTATCAGCTCTTTTTCCCGATGCTCAATCAACAGGGGATGGTCGTCCTCAAAAACCTTCATGGCTGAGACATAAAAAGAACATAACATCAGTAAAATTTTAAGTGACATAACTAACCAAGAATATTGATTTAAAAACCAGAAGTAATATCCTATAATTTTCTAATTATTTGGGTAGTTTGGAGCAGACCTCTTCCTCCTCTCAGCTCCACCAGTTCCCCCCTGGAGATCCATCTGTAACAGGGGAAAAGAATAACATCTCCTTCTGGAGTCGTCACTACTATTTTAGAGCAGTACCACTCATCCTCTGGGAGAAAAAATAAAGCATCTTTCTCCACCTTGATTAGCAGAAGTTTCCCCAGAGACAGGCTGGTTTTCACAGTGTAAATCCCTGTCTGGAAAAAAAGGGTTCAGGTACATTATACCCAATGGCTGTAACAAAGTAGGAACATAAGAAATACATCAGATCAATGCAACACCACTTGTTTTTGCTGATACTGAGCACTGTAAACACTGGATGTCACAGCCTTTTATCAGTATATGTTAAAACTAAGACTATGCAGACTCCAACAATACCCCCATACTGTTTTTTCTCTCAGTTAAATGCAATAACACTTCCTATTGCCATCATCTCAAATATGTCTCTGCATGGTAACATCAAACAGCATAAGAAGAAAAAACAATGTAAAACAGACTGACTTTGATTTGATCCTATATCATATAACCATAATGGCAGTGGAGTAAAATAAATGGAGTAAGATTACATGATTGTCTTCACTTAAAACAGTGTAGACAAATGACACCTCAGCACTCATGCAGCCACAAAAACAGATGTTATTTGAGACATATATGAACAACCGTCAACAATTGGATTCAACTTACCGTCCCAGTTTTAAAATCTACACCAAAGTTGTCCAACTCAGTTCGCTCACTCTTCCCTTTAGTTCCAATTAAGATGACATGTATGTGGTCCAATGTTCCTGCATTTGTCACGTTACCTGTTGTCACTTCCAGCTTGTACTCAGCCATGATCACTCAGTAGCAATTCTGTGTGGATTAGAATACATTTAATGTCTAAACTCAGTGACAATTGTCAGTAATATTGTTTAAGCAAAATTCCTGCATCACCTACCTTTTGGCTTTATTTGGCTGCTGCTATTCTCAGTTTTGCTCCTTTTTTATATCTCCACGTCTTGTGCTCCTCCCAATTTTGGTTTAACAATAACAGATCATTTAGTTATGATTTGTAAAGATTCAAACTGTTATAGAAGGTTCATCTGAGTCATTTCAATAATACATTTGCAAATCTACATGCAAATAATACCTTCCACCAAAGTGCTGTGATCCAGCAGGCAGTTACTGATTCCTGGGAACCTGACAGCACAAACAAATCGTTACGAAATCACTATACACAATTCACTATATATAAATATATAAACAATTCTTTAAGACACAGTTTTCTTTACAATAAGATAGTCTTGTAATTATGACTAAGCGATTGATGGATAGTTATTGAATCGATCTCAATGAAGTTCTTAGTGGCCCAAATCCACAAGCAAAGCATTTTGAAATTATAATTTAGATATGTAAATTATAACCTCTCCAAGTGTCTGTTGGAAGAGGGGTTTGCCAATGTGCTAACATTAGGGGAGGAATACTGAACTGTTTGAGGTTTTTATTGGCATTTTAGTTTTGTTTTTTATGTAGACACCGATAACTGAACTACAGATAATCTGCATACTAAAGATTATACATCAAGAAAGCAATATACTCAAGAACTTCCTATTATGCAGCTTCCCAAATCTACTATATACACACGTAATTTAATTATTTACTTTTTTTTTCCTAATGCCGACACAACAAACACATATATAGCTAATGAGAATGCCATTAGTCTTTGCAGTTATGCAGGCCGAGAACCAAAGTATTGGACAAATTAAAATTTAGATCTGACTTGTGCTAAATGAAACACCAGGGGATTACAGTTTGTCCTTTAGGGACAATTGAATGTTTGTACCAAAATTCTCTGCAATTCATTCTGCAAGTAGTTGAGATATGTCAAAAAATATTTCAACTTCACTGTGGCACTAGAAAAAGCCACTACAGGAAAAGCCAGAGTATCACCCAAGTCATTAAAATGTATCCCCTAGGGACCTTGACCTAGAGAAAGGTTGGGGAGTCAACAAAAGTCATTGTCTGATGACCATGGATGTCTGTACAAAATCTCATTGGAATCCATCCAATAGTTTAAATATCTGAGTCTGGATCAAAGTGACAGATCACCCAACATCCCTAGTGCAAGGTCTCTAGCATGGATCAATACTTCGTTACTGAACACAATCCCTGGTTCTTTGATAACAGACAGTCAACTAAAAATATTAATGTTAATGCACAGTGTGACTTATATACAGAACATAACACATCTAAAGGAACAGAGTACATCACTCATAAAACACATTTTTACTTTTACTTTATTTCAGGATATGATACCAGTTTCAGTTACAGTACATGACTTACTGTCTCAGATACACAATATTTGCACTACACTGGACAAAAAAAAACAAAAACTATGATAGCTTGTTTACCACTGTTGAAAATGCAATCTTGGTCAAATAGCTACACTGTTTTCTATTTCTTTAGGGTTCAAGTAACTGTAAGGCAGCTCAAGCTCTGAGTTTCTTTTGATAATAGCCACACTGAGAGAAGACAGCTCTGCTTGAAAATCCTTGATCATCTGTAAGGCTGCAGGCTCGTCAAAGCGTTGGTTGGGATAAGTACCCAAAGGTACCTGTCAAAGACAAAACCAAAAATGTCCTGTTAGGGAATGGGCAAGCTACAAAAGGGGAGATTGCCAGTCCTACACATGTGGCAGTTTTAATTGGAAAAAGTAGGCCTATAAATCAAACTTACAAAGTCATCATGCTTCCAGCTGAGCTGCCACAAAACTGACATAACAAATCCTGCACTTGATTTATCTGGCATAGTTGCCAAGATGGCCTCTTTGCTCGACTGTCCTTTTGTGGTTGGTGGAGCTTTGAGCAGCAACAGTGGACCATTAGGAATCCAACCTAGAAAATCCAACTTTGGAAGACAAACAGCAGCCATTAACACAAGCATTACTGGAGTTGTACAATTACATGAAGAATTTAACATTTTGAGAAATTATTATATTTAGCCTCCGACACTGGACGCAGCACTGTGGAAGTCCTGTCCTCACAGTTCACACACTACCCAACTCTAATCAAACTTGGCTTATTTGTGAATATGCTGTGCCAAGCTAGCCAGCAGCTTTATATTTACTGTACAGACAACTGTATAAATCTTCTATTCAGACTGAGCAAGAAAGCACACAAATTTTAAAAATGTATCTTCGGTTTAAAGTAAGTATATAATTTAAAATGTACAACTCACAGGAACTTTTAAAAACGAGGTAGAAACATTGATACGTTTATGAAATATTAATTTATTATAAATGTAAACATTTAATAACGGCGAAAAAGATGGAAGGAATCATTTGAATGGACAATTTTTGCATTAGTGGCCATGTGTTCTCAGAAGTCATACAACGGGAGTCAATTCTCAGTATTACAAAATGTTTACCTGTGAACTGGCAACTGCAGCATGCTTAACTGATGACGTGAAGATCACCATTGTGACAAACTTGATGAGTTCTTCCACAGTTTGAAAGCTTGAAGGGATTCCTGTCAGGAATGTTCTTGTTAGTAAAAATCTACTTCAAAATAGAGAATTGTTTCATCTCATGCCCTTTTTGTGTACAGTTATGCTATAGGTATGCTTGTGCTTGTTAGCAGTCATATAAAGCATAGCCTACATGATTTTTGGTAAACTGGCTACCAGTGAAAACTTGAATCCTTTAATATCTCTTCAGTCTACCCCCTCCCTTCAGGATTAAAGATTATTTAATTGCCAAGAATAAATAAAGGACGATATACAGATCAGGTAAGACATAAGATAAAGGGACTTGTGCAGCCGTTTTACATACTAAATATTAGTGCAACCAGTTTTGAGGAGGATAATTTAATGGACCACTAGCTACAAGGGAGATACCTGAGTCACTATTTCCCAGAAATCCATAGTAGAAGATCTCATTGACCCATCCCTGGAGCTCAGAATCTGCAGACACGTCACTGTCAGATGGATAATAATACACCACCATTGCCTTTACAAAGCTAAGGACAATAATTAAAAAGGACATCAGAATGCTGAATGGATTTATAAGTTGAATTATGATTTACAATATGAAGGCTTTACAAAATGTTGAGACTGTTGACACAATGTGCCACACACATGGTCAACTGCCACACAGGCAAAGGTTCACCTGTTGATGATGTTCCACAGCCTTAGTGCATCATCTCTGAAATAAAAGTTGGGGATGGACTCCAGTCCTCTTGCTACAATGTCTTCAGGCAGGCAGAGGGAGGTGTAGGTCATCTGGGACAGCCTCCTTCTCAATAGTTCTATTTGTCCATCTGCTCCAAGTGACGACTATTCAGTATAAATAACAATAAATATGGTTAATCTCAGGTTTTCAACTGAAAGTATGCTAGAGAAAGAGTGTATAAGTCATACATTTCCCAAAGTTCTACCGGGGCCATAAAGAAGAGCACGAGCAAGGATGTTGATATTGAGGGTATATCGATGATGGGGGATAAGCAGCTACGGAGAAGGAAAGAGAGGAGACACTAGTGACCATCATGAACTAAACATCTAAAAGCTGAGTTACAGACATTTACACAATTCTCATTTTGCTTGCAACACTGCACTTTAAATTAGGGAAAAAAATTAAACCTACCTTGTGCAGGGGGTGAATCCCTGGGAGGTTGCGGAGTGTTGCGATTGTATAAACTTCTGCCAGAAGATGATTGTCCTTTAAATGAACGACCAATGTGGCATAGAGGGAATCTGCATGCCTCACAAATATCTTGGCCAGAAGCCAGTCGGACTCTGAGTCACTTGGCAGAAAAATGGGGTTCTCCTCTGAAGGCTGCTGACCGAGCTGCGGGGAGGAGGCATATTTAACTTAAGAAGGTGGTCAAAAACATATGCAAGAGGTAAGAAATAATTCACTAGATATAAGCGAAACCTGAATTGCGATGGGCAGTAGTTTCTTCTCTGGATTCACATACAGTAGGCAGAGGGGAGCAGTCAGAGGCACTGGTTTACCATCAATAACTCTTGTAGGCAGACCTTCCATGATCTTGTAATCACTAAGGAATATATTGCCCTTCTGGAGAACATAAAATTACTATCATGAAGGATTATAAAAAAAACAAACAAGTAAAACAATGTTTAAAATATCTACAAATCACAGTAAATGCACTTTTACCGCCATCTCCACAGTCAAAGAGCTTCCATTGGCCAAAAAAGGTTTCACCATTTCCTCTGTTACAGGGAAGTTGGAGGGAAGCTTTGAGCAACGGTGGATCATGTAGGGGTTTAATCCATTTAGAAACTGGTATCCAAAAAAGTAGTCTTCTTTCCAGTGCTGTGACACATACTCTGGGACATAAATTATATTTTTTATTATATTATGTTTTACAGAGAGTAAACCACAAAAACCACAAAAACACTATACTACTATACTAAACACTATACCTACCTAAGAAGGGGGAGCTTTTGAACCAGGAGAACCCCTTAAGGGCCTCCAAGGATTCCCAGAGCTCAGTAGAATTTATCAGACCTTTCTGTTTGAGCTCAGCTAATCTAGATAAATAGAAAAAAAAAAAATAATAACTTTAACTTTCTTTAATCCACTAGTTATTTGTGTTAAATTGTCCAGGATTGCTTTTTAGAATAATATTAGGTTATAGCCCTTACGCTGCTTTGTTTATGTATGCAAATTGAAAGGCTTTTGAGAATGAGAAGCCAATTTCTGCAGGAACAGCTTTTGGATCATTGATGTTTAAGATGTATGACATTCCATCTGCATACTCCTCCCATCTGCAATGGAGAACAGGGAATTAAAAAAAAAAGAAAAAAAAAAGTTATAAATAAGAAACTCATGTTCATAGAGGTGCAGCTTGTTAAACTGATAGATGAACACTTACTTGTACATTAATTGTTTTCTGACCAATTCTTTTTCCCGTTGCGCTACTAGTCGAGGATGGAGATCTTCAGAAGGTTTTGTAGCTGTGATCAACACACACACACACACACACACACACACACACACACACAATATTGCATCAGCTTTAGCCTTCACATAGCACCTTTGACACAACAAATGCTTAAAATGTGCACGATGCAGCTCCTTAAAGTTGGGAAAATATTAACCTTTTCCCCCTCTCAACCACGCAAATTCCCCCCTGGATAGCCATCTGTAACAGGGGAAGAGAATTTCATCCTCTTCTGGCGTCTTCACCACTATCTTTGAGCAAAACCAATCCTTTTCCAGGGATTCATGGAAAGGATCTCTCTCCAACTTGAGTAGGAGAAGACATCCTAAAGAAAAAAGCGTAGTCACAGAATACGTTCCTACCTACGGTTGAAGAAGATGACACGATCAGGGGTATTACCATAGACCAAATGGCTAAAAATAGTGACAGTGCATGTAGACTTCAAAAACCAAAGACCTCCTTTTATACACAATTTTCATCAAGCAAGCAAAAACAACCCCAGCTAAAATCTACATTTTCTAAAGTTCTAAAGGTCGCATGTATTGTAGTTTTCATAACTTACCTTTCTGGTTTTATCATCCTGTTCAAAACTGGTCAGCAGAGTGTGCTCAGATTGCCTCTCAGTACCGATCAAGGTAACATACAAGTTATCAGGTGTGCCTGCACGCAGCATGCTTCCTGTAGTCACTTCCAGAGTGTACTCTGCCATAACGCTTGGCTAACTACAACAACTGAGACATACAAAAACCAACAATCATTATATAAAGTAAATAGCTTTGTTCAACCCCAAAACTGTCTAATATGATGGCATCAAACATGCAGAGGCATCATAAAATGTCTACTCTTGGTATACAGATGAATACCCTTGGACAGACAACACACCTTTTAATTTGAACCACAAAACAAGATCAGCAGGGATCCCAAAACCACTTGAACAATTTAACAGCAATCACAGGTGTTGGACATTTCCTGATTACAGCTACAGAGACCTCAGAGCAACTTGTCCATCAAAAGGGCTCAGAGAAAAACTTTGGTCTTAAATTTGTCCAAAAATTACATTTGTAAAAGTAATTATTTTATCATCTCACAATTAATAAGTCATTCATTAATTTTCCTGGGTGTTAAGATTCAGTCTCAGCCCCCAAATTATTTAAATTATTATGAGCTCCAGGGGTTTCCTTAGTCAGTTAGGAGTGACCAGCAGAGGCAGCATCTACACACTTTCCATATTTTGGAAACGTAAGGTGATAGATTGATATAAAATACAATAAATACAAAAAATACTTTTAAATGAAATCCCTCTGTCATCAAAGAACTGGGGTTTTGTTCAGTAACCTAAAGTTTATTTAAGTCCTTCCTCTTGAGAAAAATAACAAGAATACATTTGCTCATGGAAATTATACCTTCAAGTCCATTGAGATGCTAATATGCTGTACCTGGTAGCTACAGCTCTCTGGAAACCTGACAGCACAGATAAATGTTTACTCAACAGGAGTAAAGCTCAAGATTAATTGTTTTTTTAATTGTTTTTTGGCCATCTTTGCTTTTAGTAGAGACATGAAAGAAAATGAGGGATAGAGAGCAGGAAAGGTCCCTAGTTACATTCAAACGAGGGATGTTGCAGTTCATGGTCAGAATCTTGACCCCTAAGCCACATGGGCACCCTGAGAGTTATTATATTTAAGTGGTAGGAAGGGATGATGCACCTTCTCTTATATAAATTTGAATCCTGACCACTAGACCAAGTGGGAGCTGGTTAAGAACGTTTGATCTGTTAAAAAAAAAATGTGTTGGAATTTTGGACTAATTATTTTATGGTAACTATCTATTGCTGTTTCGGTCCCAAATGGTCTAGCGGTCAGGATTCCTGGTTTTCACCCAGGTGGCCCGGGTTTAACTCCCGTTATGGGAAATTAATTATTCTGGAGGTATTAATGCTCTGTATACTAAACTGATGCACTAAATTCAAAATCTCAATGGGGCCATATGGATAAGCAAAAATGGTAGCAATACCTTGAAATAACAGGACTGACAATTAGAGCTACTATCAGC